GGATGTTGCAAAATGACAATGTGGCAAAATAACGGAAATTGAATTATGAGGTTCTGTGAATATGACTTATGGGTATGTGCATATAGTGCAGAATAAGAGAGAGTTTATGAATTCAGGGGTTGAATTACTTGAACTTTGTGATTTGAATGAGGGTTGGTTTTGCATGTTTCGGTCAGAAATTGTTGGCTTGTAAATTGTGAGCATAAAATGGAACTTATGCAGTTTATGGGTAACTCTGAGATTCATGTTGATTAGTATAGGGTCCAAAAAATTCAAATTTTATCCAAAATTATTAAATAACCTCTGTTGTGTCATCCCTAAGTCCTCCATCATCCAATCCATGTCAACTTCTCCTACATATCATATCCACAAATCCTCACAAGCAAAAACAAACAAACAATTCTTTTTTATTCACTCATGTACTGCACAAAAAAAATTGAATAATTTAAATTACACTTTACTTAATCATGTGTATAAAAATTCAATAAATCATACAAGATGAAGTTTAATGCAGAAGATTTGGAATTAAATCGGATGGGATGAAAAATTTACGAATTATTAAGTATGAGAATGAATAGCAGCAACAGATAGGCAGAGGGGAAAAGAAGACGAGAATTGAACTATATTTTATTTAAGAATATGATAAATTGGATGCTAAAAGACTTGAAAATTGAGAGAACTGTTTATAGCAGTGTTGTCCAAACTTTTTTGAGCCACGGCACACCTAAGGGGTAAGCTATTACCAAAGCCGCACACTGCATTCGGCTCGCGTCATTTCAAAAAATTCAAACGGCACACTAGTGTTCCGCGGTACACAGGTTGGACAACACTGGTTTATAGGAACTAAATAGTATCTTAAAACAGCTTAAAAAATTCTAATTCATATTTTAAAAAATTAAATTCAAAATAAATTTTAAAAAAGGTAAAATCAATTATTTAAATCTAATTTTATGCAGCGTCTTAACTAAGGACTCCTAAGTTTAGTGTCCCGGGATTGAAAACCCTAGTCCTAAGTTTAGTGAACATCCCTTCAATTAAAAACAAATTCTTCAATCAAATGCTTGTAAAAATCAAATAAAGCAACAGCATCAATACTCGTTATTTATCAATAATCTCAACCACGCCAGTGAATTTCGCGTCTGGAATTTTAATTCCAAATCTTTTTGTTCATATTTCCCCATTTTCTACATCTTTCTAACGCTAATGCTCATGAACATATTGACTTCGTACACGTTCATGTCGAAAATGTACGAATTATTTTTTTTTATGATAAAAAATGCAATCTGAATTTTTTTATTATTCGTGTGTCGATAAAGGTGCATAAAGCGCATTTTTGAGTCAGTATTCAGACCTTCAATTTAACCTCAAAAATCTCTCAAACTCAGCCAAAATGCAATATCCTTGCTTGTGTCTCAAAATCAGCTAATAACTTATCTTCCGAATTCTTATTAAGCATCAGCTTTATTAAAAAATTCTTTGGCATGCAAAATTGATTTATTGGCTGCATTATTGGTCGTCTCACTCGAAATACAGCACAAAAAAAATAATTCATGCGTTGATAAATTTCATAGATTATTGAATGTTTTGATTGCATTCCTTGCAGGAGTACGCGCGTGGTGTCAATTGATTGAGAAATCAAATTTGTCATTCCATGATCCCTAATATTTACTATTATTCTATTTTTATTCAAGTATGTGAAAGTAAATGAAATATTGCACGCATTGTGTAGATTTATTAGAGATTTTTGCATTCGTGAAATTGAAATATTTTCGATTTTTATCTCTTGGGAGATGAAAAGGATGCTGTTGGATGAGTATCACTCGGTGTCTTACTGTGTCATTGTGTAAATGGATGGTGGATATTATTTTTTTTTAAATTGGAATTTTTTCATTAAAATTTGAGGTGCATTTGGGAATTTTTGTTGATTTTTGACAAATCTGAAGTTTAATTTAAGTTTAATAATTTTTTTTTAATTTTTGCCACTTTTTTAAACCTTTTTCAATTTATTCAATGCTTTTCAATCTAAAAACATTTTAATTTTTTTTCCTGTTTTTAAAAATTATCAAAAATTTTAAAAAATTATTTTCAAGAAAATTTTCAACAAAAATTCATCAAAATTACGAAGATCAAAAATTCTCACTTTAAAACTTTTTTTCCCAAAATGTACATCCTCTCAACTGTTTACAATTTCAATTAATTACAATTTACGTTGAATAGCGTCTGCTGCTGCCGCTTTAACCTTTCTCCATCTCTCACTTGGCATTTTTAAAACATTTTTCTCTGTTGATTTTTCTAATTTCTTCCCTTTTTTACTTACAAGAGAAAGTTTCTCTCACTTTCTTTTTTGTTGCTTTTAAAAGTTTTAATCACTTAAATGAGATTTTCTGAAGATTTTTTTGCATAAAAATTAAGCGAAAAATTAAAATAAAGTTGAGTGTCTCTCACCTTACTTTTTTGAATTTAGTGATTATTTTTGAGATTATTAGGAAGAAAGTGGGTAGGGAGGGGGCATTAGGAGCAGTTTAAAGTGCACTTATTGAAAGGGATATCAAGCTAGATTGTTAATCCATCATTGTTATATAAAAAGACACAAGTAGGTTCCTTATACATCTCGATTTCTAATATATAACAAATAGCCTAGATTAAATGGTATGTTGAAGTAGTTTGGTAGCGCAATGGATCAGGCCTACGAAACCTAATTATTTAAACATCAATTCATCGGTTCGAATCTCATCAGAGATCAAATCTTTTGAAAATTAAGCTTACAGCCTTCATTTGAAGGTTTATTTCCTGTAATAATGCTCCTAAATTTCCATAGACCAACCTAATCTCATTAAATATAAAGTTATATCCAAATGACACTTAACACAGCTCCTATCATTGTTATCCCATAAAATAGACCAAAACAAAATCCTTTTCTTTAATTTTACAGCATAAATCAGCGAAAAATCCTTTAAAATCATTATGATTACATAAATACAGCATAAAAGTATCATTTTCCGTATTATTTCATTAAAGCTATGTCGCGAAAGGGTATCAGACGTGAAAATCTTTTCCTCCAAAAAAGTTAAGCAAGGAAGGAAGGATAAACAATGAGTGTGAGACTATAAAGTATGTTGTTTCGCCCAAATAATAACAATAATTGTATCTCTTTTGCATTTTTTTTCCGTAGTTCTAACAAAAGTAAAGGGTTGCCTTCCTAAACCCTTTAGATGATAATTTTTCAGTGCGGCCCCTTTAGGCAAACATAAAAATCTGTTGTAATGTATTTATTTTTCCGCTGAAACGATACAGTTTTTTATGTAAATACTGACTGACTTTATTTAGACACAACATGGAAAAATATCTCGGTGGGAGTTTTTTTTTCTTGCCTTTTGTGCCCTTTTTTTTGCCAATAAACATAACACACAACTTAGTTTCTAAAATATACATTTTCGTAGAAAGTGGATATAGATTTATTTATGTTTTTTGAGGGTTTTTTTATTGACTAGAAAATTTTATTTTCTTGTCGAGCATTGATTTTGATATCTAAATCCTAGGGGTGGAATTTTTTGTGAGCTCTGTTAAAAGGATACTAGCTTACTACTAGTTTAGACGAATGAGACTTATAGTGACGACAGGATGAGGTTTTTAGGTTGCAAAAGTATAGGTTCAAGATTGTTCCACTCAATCTTAGTTTTGTATATACTCAAAGCTAGTTGCATCTCGTCCTACATATGCTCAAGTTTGGGTGTTCCAGTGAACCACAACATTTTTCAGTTGCCTGGATTTCAGATCATATTTTAAAACAAGTCAAATTTCTATTCATAAAAATTCCAAAAACATTCCCAACTTCATAAATGACTTTCCCTTGCCCAGAAGTGATTATAATATAAACATTAAAATACTTTTTTATGGCCGATCGTAGAGGATTTAGAGGCGTATTTAAAACAGATATTAAGGAGATATATTGCACATAGGTTAACGGCTTCTTGTAATTTCAATCATTTTCAGATGATTTTTTTTTTTTTTTGTTACTTTTTATTACTTTTTGGCGACGCATTTTTTATGAAGAAAGGAATCATTTTTTGCTGTTGAGTCACTTATTGGTGAGTTTTTTGCGTACATTTAAGTTTTGATGATGTTTTGGTTGGTTTGTGACTTTATTTCAATGTGTTTTATAAGATTGAGGAAAAATTACATCCAGAAATCAAAAAATTGGTTCTTTAATCCTATTTTTGATAAATAACAGCTATAAACAGCTCTAATCACTCAAATTTCAAGGCAAAAAAAAACTTGTTAAGTCTTGTCGAAAATTAATAAATCTGCAAAAAACTCCACCCTATTAAACAATCCCAATTTTTAAACTTTAATTCTGCTAAAATAAATGTTTAATCTCTTCTTACTCATCATCTCTTCTCTCATTTATGTTGTTCTTCATTGTATACAATAACGAAAATCTAAAATCAGATTATAAATTTTTATTACAGCAAACAAAAAACTTTTTTTGTTGTGCTACGCTGAAAAATTTTACTTCTCTTTCCAACACAATTCATCATTCCATTACGTCAATTATAATCCATAGAAAGCGATAAATACACAACAACAAAAAAAAAACTATACAGTAAGGCAATTGAAATGCTAATTAATGCCATCATAATAATCTTAACGACGTAAAACGACGACGTTTTTTTTGCTGTTTTGTTCCTTTCCTTTAATAATCTATGCTCATCCATGCGATCAGTTTACATTTCCAGAATTTGAATTTTATAATCGAATCACAGTTGACTTTATTAATGAAATGAGATTCAATGTGCGACATAGTTTTTTAGACATGTTCCCTATATACTTGTTAGCATTACTAACCCTTTTTTAAATGTGGTGGAATTTATTGAGGAGTTGAAGTTGTAATTTTGTCAGTTTGTCGTGATTTGGCATGGATTTTGATCAAACGAAAACAACATGGATAGACTCAGCAAAAATTTACAAAATCGAATCAAGAACAACGCAATTAAAAACGAATGAACACAAACTCACCACAAATAAACACAAACTCACCACAAATGAACACAAACTCACCACATATGAACACAAACTCACCACAAATGAACACAAACTCACCACAAATGAACATAAACTCACCACAAATGAATACAAACTCACCACAAATGAACACAAACTCACCAAAAATCAACACAAACTCACCAAAAATGAATAAAAACTCACCAAGAATCAACAGGAACTCACCAAATATCAACACAAATTCACCAAAACTCAACACAAACTCACCATAATTCCACAAAAAATCACCAAGTGCGCTCTAATCATCACAATTCTAACTTACCTCTCACAAAACTCAATTCCGTGTAAACATTTCCATTTAAAATCATCGCATTCGTGAATTAAAAGTGAAAACTTACAAAAATATTCCAATTTAAAATTTTACTTTCAAGTCTATGTCCTCACTCACTCAAGCACTTTATGTTAAAATCTTATTGAGAACGCGCGTGATTTTTATTAGAAATCAGCAGCATAATCAAGTAGGCAAATTTGTATGCATGAGAGATCTCATTAGCAACACGTTATGGATTCTTCCGTTAATATTATGTTCATTGTTATGCTGCTTTTTGTAGATACACAAAATTTTTGTAGTTATTGGGCACTTTAAATGTTGATGGATATTTGAATTGAAATTATGTTGATTTTGATGACTTGAGATTGTTGTTTTTAAGATGAGGGAATTGGATGATGATGGTGAGTTTAAGGATGGCTGTTAAATTAGCATTTAGTTGGATTTTTTGGATGATTTTGTATGAATTTGAATTATATTGCACAAAATTAAACACGATATAATTTTAAATATAGACTAAATGCTAGCACTTTGTGCTCATCATAAAAAATACAGGTTTGAATCCCCAAATTTATAAAATATTTCACTTCATTGACAATTTCTCTCATTTTTTTATTCGAATAATTTATTTTAATCCCAAAACCCTCCATAATCCCCCCTTGCTAATCACCAATCCCTAATAAAAATTCATTCTCAATTTCCTAATGACAGCCCATCATTTAAAAAGAAAGAATGTAATATCAACAAAAATCTAATTATTGACACTTAATTGAGTTTGAATTTCACTGCTGTGCAACAAGAAGCAGTGAAAGAAAAAAATCTAATAAAAAAAATTCCTCGCCCTTTATTATCCTCTGGTCGATTTACATCTTATCGCACTTGCTTTATGTTCAACTGCTGCTTTCACTTTTATTTTTAATTTCACACAAAAATATGCAAATTGTGCCGAAATCAAATATTTAAATTTTTTACAGCATATTTTTTAGGTCGTCAATGAGGCAAGTGTGAGGAGATCAAATATAAAATTATTGGTGTGCTTTTTTGTGTAATTTATATGTTTGATGAGGGAGTTACTAGGTGTAAATTAGGGAACTTTGAGGTTAGTTTGTCGTTTTGGCTGAATATTAAGGCCATGAAATGAGAACAAGATCTTTCAAACTTCCTTGTACCTCATCAAGCTACGATTTTGGATTATACGCTTGTAAAGTTGTGTATTGGTCAGCCTATAACTCCCACTTGGTCCTAGATCGGTCTCTTACTTCACTGAGCTTCATACCATGCCCTCCTTCTCCATCTTTTGAATCCAAACCTCAAATGCGCTCTAGAACTAACCTCAAAATTCTAACTCTTCCTGTATCTACATCCTATATCACAACGAAAATCATTTAATCCTAAATGAAATAAAATGAGATAAAATTTTTTTAACAAGCCAGAACAAATTCCAAAATATTTTTTTTCACCCCAGAAAATAAAATTCTATTTTCGCGGACTCCGTGTTATACGATTACTTCCGATTCAACTAATTTTTATGAGTTTGAAAATTTGATGAAAAAAAAAATACATTTTAAGGGTAAGAGGCAGTTGCGCTTATTTTGACCCTAAAATTTTTTGTTTCCTTATGCCTCGCTGCGGTTTGTAGTAGTCACAAATCCACAAACAATTTAGTTCCATTAATAAAAAATTTTTCTTGGTGATTCTGTGGGAATAAATAAATTTATGAGCGAACAAATATTTTAATTTAAAAAAATTAAAAATCACGAAGATACGGGACGATGGAGAGGATTTTCGTCGCAACAATTCATTCCTTCCTTTTGAATAAATTTGTAAAAGGATCAGCGGTGTTAAATGTGTAATAAAATTCAATTATTGTAAATAAAATTAGGAATTCTTTTTTCATTATGAAAATTAAAAAATGATTAGAAATTTCCAGGGTAATATTTTGTAGATGTCGAAGGACTAGATGCCTTAACATAGTCTAAAGTTTTTCAATGGACTTACTGAAAGGATTGAGATCCAGATTTTCAACAATTCAATGGATCAATTTTGAAGTTTGAAAGTGGTCCAGGCTCATTTGGACCCTTTTCCGGATACGTTCATGACTTAATGAAGTTCAAAAGTTCGGAAGATGACAGCCTGAGGCCAATTTATATTACTAAGAGTTCAATTTAACACAGGAGAAGGGGGTTGGTCTGGCAGATTAATCTGCTTAGATCTACACCAGTGTTGTCCAAATTGTGTGCCGCAAATTGCATGATCTGTGCGACTTTGGTCATGGCTAACCCCTAAAATGTGCCGTGGCTCAAAAACTTTGGAAAATACTGGTCTACAGAATCCGAATCCTAAATTCTAGTTCTAATCAGATTTTAGAAGACTTATGCTCATCAAAACTCAGTTTAGAGATGAATTTAGCCTTTATCTTCAACATGGCCATACATTGCCACGGAAAACTCTCAAATCTTCATCAAATCCACTGCTAATTCACCAATAAAATTAATTAAAAATTCTCCTCACATTTCACCGTATATAATTGATTGTGAGTCGTCACATTAATTAAATGGCTATTGCCAACAGCATCAAATAAAAGAATCTTCTTAACATTCAAATAATCGACATTTGCTGATACCAATAAAAATAAAAAATTCACTAAATGTTCCTCATCATGTCATTTTCATATTATTTAATTATCTTAAGGGCCTCATTTTCTACACTTTCAAACAAATTCAAAGCCCTAATCGGACAAAAAGAACAGAAATGTATTTAATAATAATTATTATACATTGCACATTTGCTTAATGGATTTTATTTCTTTGTGATGTTGCCTCCCGGGTCATTTGCTCTCCTTGCTCACATATAGCATTAATACGAGTACATGTACGCATATTGCAAACGTAAAACAATAAAAATATATTTTTATTGACGACCAAAAAACAAATTAAAGTGACATTATAGAAAATTGTTATCTCTGCTGTTTGATATTCTCGAAATGTTTTTTGCTGTGTGTGTCTCTTTTTGCTGCTTGTTTGGATTTGGATGGGTGCTTTGTTCTCATGTCGATTGAGAAAATGAGTAGAAATGACATTGATTTTTATGTAAAATTTAAAGCGCATTTTTAAAGATTTTTAGAGGATGATGCAAATTAGAAACTGTAAGAGGCAAATTTGATATGATTTAGACTAGATTTCTAAGATGCGCGGTCATGAACCTTCAATTTTGTGTATGATTTTAGTGTCCAGGACTTGATTTCTTATTTAACAGTTACTAAGTCAAGGAATATCAAAATTATGCAGACCTATCCCCCCCTTTAATATGTCTTGCTACAAAGCTATATTTTTAAAATTTAAGGGGATAACAACCTGATGAAAAAAATTCAACAAAAAAAATCCAACCATTTTGATTCAAATTCAAATCCATTCCTTTTCAGATAAGAATTTGTTTTAAAACTTTCCCCATCATGTTGTTTCCCCCTTTTGAGCACAATGTCCTATCAAATCAATCCACAAGCCAGCATCAAATCCTCATCATTTTGTCCCTCATCATCAAAAAATTTCGCCTCATAAAAAAAGGTGAACCATAACAATTTATACGTACATTTAATGACAACAACTATAAACATTTGGTTCCTTTTAATTTCGTTAAAAGCAGCAATATTTATTTACAAATAAATTGCATTTGTGTATTTATTCCTCTCATTTCCTTCACTTTCATTGTGTATGTGCAAAATAACACATGTAATATGATTGTATCGAACAAATAAATGAATGTTTAGATGCAATGTGAAGAGGAGATGAATAAAAATTCTTGATTTCATGTTTTTTTGCAATTTTAGAAATTATCAAATTTAAAAGCTAATTTTTTAAATATGAAGCTTAATGTAAATTCCAAGATTCACATTATTATTTAAGTCGTGACAAACGTTTTAAGTGTTTTTCGTGCTCCAGGTGGCATTTCACTACACAATCTACAGTCATTAGCTGTCTTATTCTTAAATAAATAGCCACAGTAAATCTTGATTCAGCATCAGTGTCATTTCAGAAGTTCATTGAGTCAAACTTACAAATTATTATTGAAAAAAAAAAACAAAAAAAAAATGGTTTTTAAAGTTTTTATTTTTTGCGGGCTCATTTATCAGTCACTTGCAGGAGGTCCTTCATTTGACGTCAGTTCATCATCAAGTTCAACGTTAACATTACCTGCTTGCATGACTTGCAATTACGTTCTAACACAATTGGCTAATTTGGATGAGTTAAGCAGAACAGATTGTGATCCAGGAGCAGGCATTAAAACTTTAATAACGCTCACATTTGATCAAATCCCTGAAATTGCAGATAAAGATGGATATTGTTCTAGAAATAACGAACCAATTCCAAATTCATGGAATCCTTTAATTTATGGATTTTACTTTTTATAAATTAAGTTGCATCCTGAATTTTATGTTGAATAAATAAAAAGATGATTTCGGCATTTCCACAAGTTTTTTTTTTTGAAAAAAGTTTTGTCACAGAGGTTTTTTTTTAAGGCTACTCCTGGAGCCTGCTTAAGTCACATAAAATTCAATTTATACTTCAAGGCATAAAGTTTTAGATTAAATCGTCGTGTAAGGCCTTAAAAACAGAACTTAGCATCTCATAAATATCATTACAATTACATAAATGCAAACAGCATCCAGCAAAAAATCCTCATGCAAATCATACAACCAGGAACCTCTTTTTGTTCTCTTCATTTCAATTCATTTTGCAACCCTCGAGAATTTAATTTTTCATACATATTTATATTGTAACATCCCGTCAACTGTAATGAGCACGAAGCATCAAAAAAAGCAGGAGGGAGTATAAAATTGTGTCTATAAATTTTAAGGCCAATTTTTTTATACCGTTCCTTTTATTATCTTTATTTTAAACATTATTATCTCAGTTTCCAATTTATTTACTTTTGGGGGAGAAAAGCATCTTGGCTGGATGTAGATCATGACGCACTTTTTTATGGGATCGGACGCTGCTACGATGTAATTTGTAATGATAATCATATTTTGTTGTTAATAAAAACATTTTTTATAAGCTGCTTTGGATACTCTTTTTTTTGGTGGGAAATTTTAAAGGTTTTTGTTCTGTGGATGATTTTTAAAGGTTTTTTTTGAGGGAATTGTTGGAGAATTTACATGAAGTGATGATGCTATTTGAGTTTTGAATATGCAAATTTTCCAGGATACGATGATGCAGGAAAGAAGTGTCTCGGTAGCGTAGCTGTCAAGTGCAAACAGCGATCAGAAATTTTTATTGACCAACAGTCTTAAGTTCGAATCCCATTAAGAATAAACCACCTCCTTCCCACTCGCCAACCCTTTTCCAGCCAAAAAGGATACAAGAAGTTCTAGAAGTGGTCTTAAGTTTCAGTAAGCCTATAGCTTTGTTTCATACCCAATCTCGAGTCATAACCAAAAAAATTCACTTTAACCCATCCGCAATAGTCATAAATCAACCAATTATTTTTAACTCAAAAATCGTCCACAAATAAAACTCCAACAATCATTAAGACATTCAATCCTCTCATAAAGTCATCCATCAAATAATAAAAATTACACTTAAAACTGTCTGAAATGCCATGAAAAAAAGTTCAAATCACTTTTCACAACTCAAGCTTAAATATTCAAAATAGCAAAAAATTCTTAAATAAAGCTAGAATAAAAATTCTTCATATTCCGTCTTCCTTAATCCTTCAGACGTCTTCATGTCGTATCGACATGACTATTGTTGTGAAGAAAACGGAAGCAAAAGAAATCCAAAAATAAGAAAAAATTTTCATTCATTTCAACAAGTTAACATTTTGATAAAGTGATAATCATGATTGTGAATATTTATGATGGCAATCAAAAAACTGCTATGTATATTATGTCGAATGAGAAAGCAGAAAAAGGAAAATATATTGAATGTGCCTGAGAACTGCTGCGACGAAGGACGACTGGGTGGATAGGAACAAGAAGAAGAAGAAGAGGAATTGTGACATAAATTTTTGCTTTTGCTTTCATATAAATAATGTATGTATTGCGTCAAGGAAGCGACACTGAAATATTAGTTGTGAGTGCTGTTGTTGAGCATGTGGATGGCATATTTGCTGATTTAAGCAGTTTTGAAGTAGAAAAGAGGCTAAAAACAAACTACCGTAGGGTAGGATCCTGATCTTCACTAGTTTAACTATGATTTGGACAGCTAAAGGACGTAGAATGGTTTTTGACCATCAGAGTACCTTAACCTAATCATAGTCAAACTTATAGAGTAGAAAAACTTAAGTAGCTCTGGAAACTGACTCCAATACAAGCCTATAATCAACTTTTACCAAAACTACAGCTTAAACTTCTCATCATATTTACCCTGAATTCTCCAAAGATGCCCATCCCTAGCCCACAAAAATATAATTGTCATAAATGAGAAAAAAATTAAATAATGTGACAATGAAGCAGCAAAATATTATGAAAATGAAAGTTCCTACTGTGTATGAAAAACTATGTGACTGAAACTTTTTATACTTTATATCGTGCTATATGTGAGCTCATATCAAAAATATATAAATTTTGCCATTCAGCAAACTATAACAGAAGCAAGAAAAAGAAGAAGCATTGAAAATTTATACGTCAGTGGAATGATGTACAAACAACTTATTGTATTTTTGGCGGTTATTTTGATGATAAACTGCAATTTAGATTCAGCTTTATTGTCGAACTAACATAATGTCGTAACTGTATGTTAGATCTTTGATAAAAATACAAAATATTATTATGGCTTTCATTTGACACTATATTTCTTTTGTTGGAAGGTTTCTTCTTGGTATCAGGACATTATTGGCTTTATTAAGGACATTGGAATTCTAGCATAGGGGACTTGGGATGGTACAACAGATCATCGATCGCAGTGCCGCTTTTGCTATTAGCAAAACCCTTCATCACATTCTATTCTTCTTCTTCTTGGTTGGCGGGATATTGGCACATTGTAAGGTGGACTTAAAAATTGTTTTTGAGGTTATAATACTAGCTTTTATCGTTTGAACCTCTTTTAAGGAGTTTAGACTTATCTAGGAAGCTTTCTAGCTCTATATTCTTGCAATATCTGTAAAATCTACTCCAAACCTGCCAAAAACACTCAAAGAACCCATTAAAAAATCCAGTAAGTGCTCAAAACCCTCAAATAGCTCACTAAGTAAATTTAATAAAATTTTTGTGGACATAAAGCTTATGAAAATGTGCATAATAAAATGAAATTCATCCACAAAAGCTTTCTTTAACAATGTTGAGAATTGTAGAATATGTTCAACTATTTTTATGAGTTATTACTTGATACTTGAGACAGTCATACATAAATGTGGATAAATCGAGCAATAAAAGGAATGAATTGTTTGAATATTTTACTGCTAGTCTTGTTGACTTGTGGAGTGAGGTGAAATAAGACTTATTTGGAAGAAAGTGGATAAATGGATGTAGCATTGTGGTACATTTAGTAGCGCTGGATGTAAAGTTAATTTCAAGTTTAACTTCCAAATGTTCTAAATTTTCAATGAATGTTTTTAAAGCAGAAGAAGCTGGCGGTTGCTCAATCTTTTTGCTTGTATGTCTGTCTCTCAAGCTATCCGTTTGCTGATCAAACTCTGATCGAGCCATTTTATTGAATGTAAAATAACCTCAAGAATTCCCAATAATCACAACCATCTACAAAGCTTTAAAACCGTTTCTCCTTCAACCTCAAAGCTACACAAAAGTTCAATCTTTTCAGATACCCGAAAAAGAAATTCTTTCCTTCTTCCAAAAAGAAATTTAAACTTTAGTGACCTTTCATGTCCCCACTGATGCTCATTCAAGCTTTCCACAAATCATCATCGTCGTCTTTTATATTCATAATGTGGTGAGGCAACAAAGAGAATAAAATGCCATAAATACATGAAGCACACACAAGAGTCAGTCCCCAAACATCTAAAATTATCCCTTTATTTTGTCTGAAACGAGGAAAAAAATCATTTTTTATTATCACAAAAAAATGTGAACCTTTTTAGATTTTTTTTTCTCATTTTTTGTAAAGAAACGGAGGATGATAGTGGAAGAGACACAAAAGAGGAAAGAAAAAGTTTAATATCGAGAAATTTCAATCGAAAAATAGTTGGCTTTTATGGATGGGATATGAAAGCTTGTAAGGTAGACTCAGGAAATTGGGAGTTGTTCGAACACGTTGACTATGATCTCTGTTTTCTAGGATCTCTCCATGGTCGCAGCTGAAGTATTATTATTCTTCTTAATGCGCTTCTAGCTTTTTCAATTTTTCAATTCTACCTATTTCAAATCATGATCCTCTAGCTATAGCCCTGATAGCACCCAAACTCTATTCCATACATCTAGTACCAGCTAGGTTAGATGTCCTCACTTACCAAATTTCAAGAGCCAGCTCCCTAAAATGTCATCAACCTCCAAAGTATCTCATCAAAGTCAGTAATTCTCCACCACATTCACATTAACCTTTAAAAAAAGACAGCTTAAAGGAAGAAGAGTTCCTCACACGTAACCCATCAGCACCTCACATGATGATTTAAAGAAAATTCATTGTGACAGTTCCTTTAAATATCTCCATCCTTCTTTATTTTAAAGAGTATAAAAATTGCCATTAGATTAAAAGGTCGTTTCTTGAAGATAGAAGATTCATCTCAGTTCTATTATGCGCGTCCCATCTGGCAATCAAACTATCGAATGGTTCGTTTCTTATCCATGAAATAATATTGATATTAGAAAATTACATATTAATAAGTGACACATTTAATGGTTTTGGGATACATAGTGAAAGTGCCAACGACCTTCTTACGATTATAGACGCTGACAGAAGCATATAAATGTGAAATTTTTTAAAGCTCAAATTGTATGTTTCATAAACAATCCACTTGATTCATTCCGCTTTACTACACGAAAACAATATAAATCCTATTTATTACCGCATTCCTTCATCATTGTTTGTGTCGCAACAAGCGTCTCATAACAACTGAACATACATATGAGTGTACGTTCATGTATGAGCTGAAAAAAAATATAAAAATATGTAAGAAAAGCTGTCGCAGACACACAAATTTTCCTCATCGCGCTTTATCTCATTCGATTTAATATATGGGAAGGAGCTATGGAAGTAGAATGAAGTACGAGACAAGGGATGGAACTTAAAACTTGGTGAAATCTTGAAAAATCTAGTCAAACCTAGTCAAAACTTGTTAAAACTTGTCAAACCTAGTCAAAGCTAGTCAAACCTATTCAAACTTAGTCCAACCTAGTCAAATGTTGTCAAAACTAGTCAAACCTAGTCAAAGCTAGTCAAACCTAGTCAAACCTAGTCAAACTTAGTCCAACCTAGTCAAATGTTGTCAAAACTAGTCAAACCTAGTCAAACCTAGTCAAACCTAGTCAAACCTAGTCAAACCTAGTCAAACCTAGTCAAACCTAGTCAAACC